AAAAAACAACCTAAAATAAAGATATAAATAATATTCTATCTTCGATAAAATCCAAGACCGTAAGAACAAGAAGTAATATTATAGAAACTATTTATTTCATTTAAACGTCTTTTCTCTTCACTATATAATAAATAAATGAGTGGATATTATCTGTTGGATAAGAATTGTTCATATTTGTATTATTTTCTGTGTTTCCACAAGAACACTTTATTTGAATATAACGCTGAAGTGATAATGCAGACAGACTTAGTTGGTTCTTTCTAGCCCAAACACGAACGGAGCAGTTCTACAATACCCTTCAACGTACGCAACTAGGTATCTAACATACCAATCTGAAGTATACTTATGAGGTATATACTATATGCACACTTACCTCCTTTTCGTCTTCATTTTTCACGCAGAGACAAGCCGCTCGCCTAATAAACCCGTCCTCATCATATGTCCGTATTGAATTTGGTTTCTCTTTTTCCATGAATGATCAAACAAGTCTGCTTAACGCTGCTTGTTACTCGTACTTCTAATGCCCTACCATATATACTGTGACAAAAGCACTAGAACGCTGCATCCATTTTGTGGCAGCCAACGTAATCTCGACCTTACAAGTCCTGGAGCATTTTTCTGCTTCTTTTTTTCTCCTACATGTGACAAAAATAAAAGGTAAGCTTAAAAGTTTTGAAAAACCAGAAATGTACATTTCAAAATAATAACTTTTATTAAACATTAATTTTTATATATGTTCTATTTGCAATATATTCGTTCTGTGAATGCTTGGATGGCCCTCAGAACGAGAGTATGTCTGGATTTTATCATATGTGTATGAAATCAGCTGTTTTTCAAGTATCATTTGAGACGTACTAGGGAGATAAGGCTTACCACAAGTTCAAGGTAACAATTGTTTATAATTTTGATGTTTTGCAAGGTTAAATTTACTTGAAGACTTATATATTAACCGCATATTATCTCCACCTAGATAGTTTTAAGTAATAAGTTATCAGTGATTTTAACTATTTTGACGTGTTTAAGTTTTTAACCCTAGAATTAGAAAGTATTGTTGGTGGGGTCCACACCGGCTTTTTAATGACTTTAAGTTGAAACACATTTTTTATAAACTATATATTTATGCATCAAATCGTTTGTGCGTCTGTGACTTTGTTGGTTGGAGGATCCATAATTACATGAGCTATACAAATTTTAAACAAAAACACCGACGTTCCACATCAAACAATATTGTAATTAATCTTACTAATACATTCCTCCTGGGATTACTGTGTATTTTATATAGAAAACAACTGGTTTCATTTTCGCCCAATTTAGTTAGTCTGTTCTGATTGCTGTGACGGATAAAAAACATAGAATTATTCAATATAATGCCATATGTCAATCCCATCTGGCAGTTACTAGTATACAGTATAAAAACAAGTCAGTAGCTTGATGATTAATAAAAAATAATTGTGCTGTACAGCTATATAGTGTTAAATGTACTCTCTTTTTTTTAAGTAAACGTATCCATAAGTTACTGGTAGATAAACAAGGTTCAGTTTGTCAAACTTGTGCTATTATTTTTTTCTTATTATGTTGCAGTCTCCAGTCAATTTATCATAGTGACAGCAAAAATATATCAAAGAATGAAAATTCCTATACTTCTTGGCTATAGTATTTTCATATTCAAATCTTGAAATACAAATATATATATATATATTATTATTATTATTTTAGTATTTATTTTTGTTATACATTTAGACTGAAAATGACTGAAAGGATACTAAAGTATTGAAGTCACATTTTTTATTATGATATCCAATTTGAGTTTAATTTTTAATTGCAGTGTTGATTGAAAAGACAGCTGTAAACAAAGTATGGCATGCTGGCATTGCAGTATGTGTTCACTGGTAATAAGTATGCTCTAGTTTAAATATGATAATTGGTTGTAGTTTTCAAAAAAACTTACCTGTTTTTGTTAGTATTAAATTAATTATTTTTTTATTAGTATTGAAATGTTTGCCGTTATATTTCATTTTATTGTTCTATTTAAGGTTTAGGACCTAATATGCTGCTCAACAGAGGTACTGTGAGAAAACATTCAGATATTCCCTTATGGTTTCACATCAAGTTTATGGTTACACATGCAACTTTGGGGTTACTGAACATCATTCAGGTAAACTGAGATGCAAGAGATTTGACTATTAAAACATTTCTTAAATTTTTGATTAGCTAAACTTGTATCTGTAATATATTACAGAGGTGTAAAACAATATTGCATCACTCAATTTTTTCACACTTTTTCTACAATTTTTTTACAAGATTGTGCATTGTGGAAGTGTCAGAACTAATGTAAAATGGTTATGGACATTGTGTGGTGTAAGTTTACTCATATTTGCATCTTTATTAACATACCAACCATGACTAATGCATTACTACAAATACGAACATATTCTCTAAGTAAGAAAACCTATATTTAAAGATAACACCACTAATGTAATTGACAAATTGTGGTCACAGAGTCTACATCTTGTTTAAATATTTGAGTGTGCCTCCTCTGGTCTTGATAACTGCTTAACATTGCTGTAGCATAAAGTGTATGAGGGACTGAATGTAGACAGGGATGAGTTCATGATGCTACATGCAGAATGGGGCTTCCTACAGTTCCAAGGTGCTTCTTAGTTTCTTCTCCTGCACTTTGTAAACCTATTACCTTCCAGCAGTTTTTCATTAGGGTTGAGATCTGGGCTGTTTCCTGGCCAATGTAGTGTCTTGGTTCTCTCCTTTCAAAGATAGTCCTTCACCTGAAGCAATGAAATAAAATCTAAGATGTGGTTTCAATACATGTAGAGTGAAATTTCTTCTTTATTTCACATCTACTGCATAGATTGTATAAATATTACCAACCTTTATAGCCCTTTGGCATAAAGCAAAGTCATCCTGAAATGTGCACTGGACTACTTCACCAAAGTGATACTGAAGTGTTGGCTTTAACTAGGACTTGAGGATCCCAATGTATTGGTCGATGTTGACAGTGTCTTTGACAAAATGCATGCTTCCCACACTCTGGCAGGAGATGCATCCCCATATTTTTTGACCCTGCAGAAGCTTCACAGTTGCATTTCAAACACTCTGGATGAAACTCTTCTCCACATCAATGTCATATAAAGTGCTTTCCATCAGACCTGTGCAGGTTGAACAAACACTGGTTAAACTATTCTCCACATTGATGTCATATAAAGTGCTTCCCATCAGACCTGTGCAGGTTGAAAAAACACTGGATGAAACTCTTCTCCACATCAGTGTCATATAAAGTGCTTCCCATCAGACCTGTGCAGGTTGAACAAACACTGGTTGAAACTATTCTCCACATTGATGTCATATAAAGTGCTTCCCATCAGACCTGTGCATGTTGAAAAAACACTGCATGAAACTCTTCTCCACATTGATCTCATATAAAGTGCTTCCCATCAGACCTGTGCAGGTTGAACAAACACAGGATGAAACTCTTCTCCACATCAATGTCATATAAAGTGCTTTCCATCAGACCTGTGCAGGTTGAACAAACACAGGATGAAACTCTTCTCCACATCGATGTCATATAAAGTGCTTTCCATCAGACCTGTGCAGGTTGAACAAACACAGGATGAAACTCTTCTCCACATCGATGTCATATAAAGTGCTTTCCATCAGACCTGTGCAGGTTGAACAAACACA